AATGTTCTTGGTTCTTCAAGTCGATGTATGTCATTATCCCCTATATGCATGTTAATTTGGCGATTTTAGTGAAGATTTTTTAAACTGTTTGTTAAGAGATACAGATAGCATGCTTTGAATTCGAGTAAAATCCATGAATTTTCTTCTGGATTTGACTATTTCTTACCATGGTATTGAATGAGCGTGTACAGTGAATTTCCAAATTGTGTGTAATAGGGTTTGATTGTACGGGAATGTAGGTAAAAAGGAGGCTGTTGCGACTGAGAAGGCACCGGCTGCGCTGGGACCGTATTCTCAGGCAATTAAAGTCAATAACCTTGTCTTCGTTTCGGGTGTACTCGGTCTTGTTCCAGAGGTTTGTTCATGAGAACATGCTCCACTGTGTTATTCGTATTCTTATATTTCATTCGTTGTTATTTCATATGTCATTGATGTATTATATTCTTTCAATGATTTTGGTTAGACTGGAAAGTTTGTCTCAGATACCGTAGAGGATCAGACAGAGCAGGTAAATGACTGAACTCTAAAGAAGTTACAAATGCAGCAACTTTTGAGGTCATTACAAGATTAATTTCTATTATTTCTTAGCTCGTCGGTATAAAGAATTGACTGGAGTCTGATTTTTGTTTATACTTGCGGTTGGGGCATGGCTTAATTAACATGGTTACTTGCAATTGTTTTAAAGTATTAGCTTGGACCTATCTTTAATCTGTCTTGTGGCTTTTTCTTTGCTTTTTAAGAAGGCTCAACTTTGTAGTTTGCAATGGATGAATATCTTTTTGTTAAATGCTTCTGTTGACTCTTCATCTCAAGCCTGTCAAATTTGTGTCTTCTATAATATGTGCACTGGAGTGAGAATCTTTTTGTTTTGATCACTGACTGCTGCTACTATATGTAGGTGCTCAAGAATATGGGAGAAATACTGAAAGCTAGTGGCGTTGACTATTCCTCAGTGGTGAAGACAACAATCATGTGGGCCCTTTGTTACTTTGCTTGCAATCTTCAAGTTGTTGGAAGTTTAGGATGTAAATTGATTTGGGTCAATGATTGTTCCTCTTGCAGGTTGGCTGACTTGAAAGATTTCAAGAAAGTGAATGAGATTTATGCAAAATGTGAGTTTCTATTGTGGTGAACTTCAACTTTTATTTGTCATTTGCATCAGATCTTACATATTCTTGAGCATGCATGGGAGAAGAGATTTACATCCTCTCATGTTTTCAAATCATCAGCAGCCGGCATGAGTATTGTAGATTGTGTGATCTAGAGATGTCAATTTAATGATTATGCTATGCCGTAGCCTGTTGAATTAGTTTTATGAATTCAGTGAAATGGGCTTCATTCTATCAGTTTTATAGAGATTTGCTATTTAGTCCCTAAGCACCTCTTTTTGCGTACACTAGCTATTGGACGGTTAGAATCATTTTCTCCCTACTTTGGACCACCGTGGCCTGCTGTAATAATTAATCGTTGTGATTAATAACACTATTATATATAAGCTTCTAAATTTTATGCATGAATATATCTGTTAGCATGAAAAAGCTCTGTCAAAAGATATTAACCTTTGCAGGATGAATTGACTATAACAGATGATCATGTTTGTTTTCTTCTCTTCTTTAAACATTTTTTCGCTCAAGTCTCAGTTACCTATCCGTGAAATATATAGACATTATGAGCTTGCTTTTCAAGTTATTCAAATGGTTTTTGTTGCAGACTTTCCCGCACCTGCCCCCGCCCGATCAACATACCAGGTAGCAGCTTTGCCTTTGGATGCTAGGATTGAGATAGAATGCATTGCTGCACTCTAGGGCACACCTGAATGGAGTTTAGTTAGGAAGGATCAAGTTAATAAAGCAGAAGAGAGGAATCTCCAAGAATTATAGGTTAGAGATGTTTTCATCTCCCTCTCAAGACTGATGGTATCTCAATGAGTCTTGTTAAATTGCCAGAGCTATAATGTTTAGAAGCAGTTGTAGAAGGCAGAAACAGAGCATGGACCTCTCTCTCTCCCTTTTGTTTTTTCTTTCTTGTTTTTTAAGGTCTAGCAGTTATTGTGGACAAATCCTCCTCTCTGGTTCTTCCGTGGATTGAAAGATAATGTTTTATTTACATTTGGACTTTGGTAACTATTGAAACGTGCAAGTGAATTGACTTTACGATAACTAAAAAGTAAAACAAAAACCAGCAATGATTCACATATATATGCTGAATTATATATAATTAATTACATATGCATAGGTAAATGTTTTACCATGAGAATATATATATATATTATATATTATATATGCATTCTATATTCTGTACCTTCAAAGTACATATATATATATATATATATATATATATAACCAGAAAGCATATGGGGTTTATGAGAGTTATGGATGGACTGTGATATTTGGGTGTCATTATTACACATGTTTTCTGCACATAGGGCAAGACCCTTGTCTCACTAGCCACTCATCTATGCACGTAATATGAAACAAATGTCCGCATTGCGGCAGCTTTCTTCCCATTTCTCCATCTTTTACCTCCTGCAAACCAAACATGTACTTTCACACACATGCATACACATCATATATGCATATATTAACCTAAAATAAATATTTTACCTGTAGGCAAATGGAGCAACCAAATAATTCATGACATAAATCGATGGGTTGATGAGAGGAATTGAAAACGCAGGAAGGAAGATTTTGAATGGTAGCTCTAGACAATCCTCTCACTCCATTGTCCTCGTATATATCTGTAATCTCTCTGTAACTATTCTCAAGAGCCATCATCTGAAATTTATTTTTATTTTCATAATATTAATTTCATATGAATTTTAATTAATTAATTCCCACTCAATTAATAATAATAATAATAATAATAATTTTGGCTTCGTAGAAATTTGAAAACTTACTTGCCATTGATAAGCTTTGAGCACTGCAGGACTTACCCATTCCATAAATACCTTCCCACTCATTAAGCTACCCAATAAGGCAAACTGTTGCAAAACATAATTAGGATAAGAAATTCATAAAATTAGAATACAAAATTTTATTTTATTTTTTCAAAATAAAAATATATATATTATTATTATTAATATTATTAATTAATTAATAGCAATAACATTAATTCGAGATTGGTCCCGACGGACACTTTTTATATTTCCTTTTGGTACCCGAAAAGCAGATGATTAGATAAATTAAAATATTATAAATTAAAGAAGTATAAACATTAATAGAATCATGGTCCCCATGCACCCCTTTTTCTATTTTTTGCTGATCTCCCAAAGTAATTAAATTGCCATTAATAAAATCTAGGATGCTTCAGTTTAATTAATTAAAATTATAGTGACTCAAACGACCATATTGATTTTTTTGGAAATCAAACTATTCCAACTTCCAAAAATTTCTTTTTAAGTACTTGAAATTTACCTAAAATTGCAATGCTTACGATTAATGTGTTTGGAAGGAATATGAAAAATGATTTTGTACCGGCGCATTGTCATTACCTTAGAGAGTGACTCACCATCGACCATTGATTCCAGCAATTGAACGGCTGTGATTGCACCAGCCACCGCACCGATGCCGCCACCTCGGAGAAACCCCGTTTCGGTGGTCTGACCTTTGATGGCTCCTACAACTATACCCACCACAGCTCCTCCTGCAAATCACCCATAATTAGCCAAACCCATTTCAGTTCACCCACTCGTTAATCCATTAGCTGCTTCTGCAATAAGTACCTGACAACACCCACCTCATTTCTAGCAGGTTATATAATAAGAGAAAACTCGGTACTCACCCATTGCGAAAGTGCAAGTGAAAGCAGCATATAGAGTTCTTTTAAGCACTTTAACGAAAAGCCCAGTTCCATGAGCTTCCATTGCGGCCAAAACCCAGAAAGAAACAGCTTCTTTGAAACTCAATGACAGCTCAATTATGCCCAGAAACCAACCCTTGATCAACATTTGAGAAATGGAAAGGACTTGAGAGTATATAATCAGAGTCCTGTTTGGCTGATTGGAAAAAGTGAAGAAGAATTAAGACATGGTGTTTTGGGAATGTGGGAGGAGAATGGAAAGAGGGGAACTTATAAAGAAGAAATACTTAATACACATTTATTAGGGTAAGGGCAGAGAGCTACTACCCTATAATTAATTACATATACAGCTACTTGCATCAATTTAAAACGAACAAGGTACTAGTTATTAATTTAATGCTTTTTGTTATTATTATTATTATTATTATTTTTTACTAGAGAAAATTTTATAATTATAATTTTTTAACTATAATTTTCATACCAATAATTAAACTAAAAAAAAAAAAATGTTTGATCGGATCATATAGAGCACATGGTATATATAAAAACCATCAATTTTCAATTATTGATTTCATTTTCATCAAAATCCAAAAACAAATTATGTTTTTACCCAAAAATATTTATAATTTTAGTACTTAAATTAGAGTCTATTTTTATAAATTATCTTTAGACAAGGGGCAGTGATGTGCATGTTACTTTCAATTTATACCATAATGCTACTATTTTGGGGGACTATGACATACTCATTTTTGATAAAGACAAACGTTTATAGCTATCAATACACATTTAAATATTAAATATTGTGTTATAAAATCTATAGATATATATATATATATATATTTTTTTTTCAGTTCATTCTTTAAATATTTCTTAATTATTTTTTAAATCCACTTTTCTTTTTTGGGTCAGATATTTTTTTGGGTCCACTAAGTTACTTCTTTATCAAAAATTTCAAAATTCAATTTAGGGTTTGATCTAACATGGTTTTGGACGGTGATGTTGATAAACAATCATCAATGTAATATTAAATACAAATAAAATTTGATGATTCCTAATTTATTAAAATAAATTAAATTAACCTAAAATTCCCACACACACACACACGTATTGATATATATATATATATATAATGACCCCTGGTGAACTTGGAAGTAGCAGAAGAATGAACACCCACTAAAATGGCAAGAAACTACTTTTACAATTTACACCTTATTTGACCTCCAGCTCAACAATGGCACGCCATATTTGGAGTTTATGTCATTGGTTGGGCATTTTTATAAAAAATTAAAAAAAAAAAAAAGTATGTACTATAACTTAACTAATTAATATATTATTAAAATAATAATTAAATTAAACGAAGCCTCTCACCAATTTTGGATGATTAGAAATTCAATTTTTTTTTTTTTAAAATGCCAATTATTAAAAGTAACAAAATGTAAAACTATAATTCCACTTAATTAAAGCTGTAATAATGAACTAATACATGTATAGATATAGATATAGATATAGATAAGACCAAAGGGATGACCTTTTTTTGACTGATAGAGTGATTAAAGACAAAGGACAAGTTTGAATGGGAGTGAGTTAAGGAAGAGCTGTTGAAAACCATGTGCTAAGGTCTAAGGCCACTCTTCAAAACCATGTGCTCTCATAGAGATATATGAAATTTGACTTTATGGCTATGTGGTCCTTAATTGCATTTATGCTACATTGCTTGATATTTTTTTTTTAGCATTACTTCAAATGGGGCCCTCCCTCTTTTCCCTTTCACTAACAACTTTTTTGAGTTTCCAATTATATAATATTCATCTACCACTATTACTATACTCTGATAGTTAAACATCTTTGTGTAAAGGTTATGAATTTGAATTTCATTAAAAATTAAAAATTTGTTATTTTATATATATCTAATGGTCTGTAACTTAAAAGAAAAATAAAAATATGATTTGAATGCGGAAGCAGAATAATAGAATTAGTATTTACATTCCTTACACAATAATTTAAAATATCCAATAGGACTACGAGAATGTCATTTCTAAAAAAAAAAAACAAACAAAAATAAATAAATAAATAAAAGACAAAATGTTGAGCATTTTTTGACAATCTTTACTAAATTTTGAAGGGAGTTCAAGTTGTGAACTATTCACAACCCTCTTATTGATCAGGATATGATCTTATTCATCTTGATATGAAATAGTTAATGAAAGGGTGAGATACACTAACCGAATAAGAATATCAAACTAATCACCGATACAGAAACTGAAGATTGGTAAAAATAATAAAAATAACAAATAAAACTCTTGATTTAAGTAAATTCATTTATCATAAGTAAAACTATTTATTGCATACTTACCGTTGCGAAATTTTCAAAACTAACATATAAAAATAATAGCTCAACAACATCATAATTTCATATTTAAGTAAGCAAGAGTAATAATTTTTCCTTTTTATTTGCCTATTAGTATTCATAGGGTCCATAGGGATGTCTCACTATGCGTGAATCAACATCAAACCTTGTCAATTAACCAGTCGTCCCCATATCTCGTCTGGTATGAGCGCCAAAAATATCATCTCTCAATACCCCGTCCGGTATGAGGGTGAAATGGGTCGTCCCCATACCCCGTCCGGTATGAGCATCAAAAATACCAATCATCGATATCTCGTTCAGTATGAGACGATGTTCACGGTAAGGTTCCCTATGTACCAGATCCGTCCACCATCTCCCAAGATATCCAGTAAACCTACCATTCATCCATTCACTTAATTAATCAATTTTTCGTTTGCATTTAATTTTCAGTTTCACAATTTAACCGTAAATCAATTCAAGACAAACAATACATGCATTAAGGAAATACAACTCAATCATTTTATCAATTTCAGTATATTATTATGTATTTAAAGCTGTAAAATTAAACAATCGATTAAACATGACAAACAATAAGAACTAATCGATTCTGACTCAATTAGTAATTTGTAATTAATTCTTGAAATTTTTTAAATTACGCCAAAATACTGTATTATTGATAATTAAACTTCAATTCCATAACAAAGAATAAGGTGAGGGATTTTTACCCGAATCGATATCTAAAATACCAAACTTTTAGCTACGCCTACTGACGGTCCCCGGGTTTTCTAAATTTTTCAGCAGAGGTTAAAACACGCTTCACGTACCTAAAAATATTCTAAAAAATCCAAAATCGATGTTAAAAGATCTTTTTCGGTCAATTTCAGAATTCTGGCACGGCGACACCGTCGCTTGCGACGACGGTTTACCTCTGCCTAGCCGTTTTCCGCTAGTTTTACACCCACCCCTGTGAGAAAAAATTTTAAGAGCCCTCGATTGGAAAAAAAAAAAAAAGTCAAAAAAATAAAAACTTACTGACGGCAGGATTTTTCGGTGCAGCGGCTCCGCCGGCTCACATTCGCAGCTCGGCATTTTTTTTTCAGTCAACCTGTAAAAAATAGAATGGTGAACACAATTGTGAAAAAATTGCACGAAACAAGAAACAGGAAGAGACTCATCGAAGACGATTTTGGATTTTTCTCGGGACGGCGCCGTTGAGTTTTGCTCGTGGTTTCTAGCTAATATGTTATTCTTTTATTCCGATTTGGCCACAAGAGTGCTTAGAATCAAATTCCAAACGGATATAAATTTTTTTACCTTTTTTGGAGGTCGGAGGTGGCTCCAGCACAGCGACGGTTGGCTCCCTCCTCCGGCGACTAGTTCTTCTTTTCCAATGGGAGGCTGACGGCTAGAGTTTGCGTTCGGTGTAATGCGAGATATTTATACCCGTCTCTCTTAAATTTAAACTGTTCATTGCGTTTGATCTCGACTGTATGATCACGTTTAAAGAGAGAACGAATTTATATCATTCATCGTGTTTAATCACAACTGTCCGTTCATGCTTGAGGAGGAATGGATTCGGATTGTCCACGCGCACGGGAACGCATCCGGACCGTCCGATCAGGGGTATGTAGAATGCCAATGTAACTTCCTGCGTGGCACCGAGTCAGGGAGCCTTGCCACGCGACACGCTCTGATTCATCGGAGCGGCTGACTTGTCAGTCCTATTTTTGATTTTTTTTTTTTAAAAAAAACACCATCCGAACCCAAATTTTCATAATTTTTTTACAAAATAGTTTTCAATTTCATTCTCAACCTATTTTTTTCCCCAATTTCACATTAAATAAAAATTTATTAATTTTAAAATTATATTTTTATACATTTCTTAATTTTTAAAGTTAATTCACGATCAAATTATGGGACCAAATCTTACAATATAAATTAGTGCTAACTGATTTATAATGTTTAATTTTCAATCATACTTTGTCTTAACGAGATTTGAAGATTTTCGCATTAAAAATGTAATACCCTTAATTAATTTTAATATAATTAAAATTAATGTATAAATATAATTTTTTAATTTTTTATTTAATATAAAAATGAAGAAAAATAGGCGAATGATGAAATTGAAAATAATTTTAGAAAAAAAAGGGTGAAAATTTGGAGGTCTTTTTGAAAGAAAAATCAGAAACTGGAGATCAAAATACAATTTAAGAAAATTGTGCCACATAGCACGCCTAGTCAGCAGCCTTGATGAACCGGAGCACGGCGCGTGGTAAGGTACGCTGATGTGGTGTCACACGGAATGTAACAACCAAATTTTATTATTTTTATTTTTTAATTTATTTTAATTTATATTAGAATTTTAGTTTAATTTTTTTAATATTTAATTTATAAAGTTTTAATTTAATTTAATAAAAATAAAAATAATAATAATGATAAAATAAGGTAAAATTATTTTTGGGATTTAATTGAAATTGATTTTGGGAAAAAATGGTGAAAATTTGGATTCTGGGGGTGTTTTGAAAAGAAAATCGGAAACCGAGGGTGAAAACGTAATTTAAGAAAATTGTGCCACTTCAGCAGCCCAGTCAGCATCCCCCGGTCAACCAGAATACGCCGCGTGGCAAAGAAGCTGACGCGGGAGGCCACGCGGGACGGAGCCACGTGGGCGATCCGCGTGCACGCGATCGAACGGTCCAGATCTCACGCACGCAGACAACCCAGATTTCACGCGCACGGACGGTCCAGATCGCATCGCGATAGACGGTATAGATTTATTTATATTTTAATCGCAATCGGACGGTCCAGGTTAAATTGTGATGGACGGATGAGATTAAAAGGAGAATGTTATAAATAACATCACCCACACCCACACCCGACCCCAAACCCTAGCCGTCAGTACCCTCGTCGGAGAAGAAGAATCAGTCACCGAAGGAGCCGGCCG